GTATACTTGGCTTCCACTGGGCATAATGTAATGCATTTCCTCATTGCCCATTATTGGTGTTTTAAAAATATTTTTTATTTTTTATGTTTCAAATGTGTATTCAAATGTGTAGAAAATGAACTGTCTTCATGGTTGGAAAGTCATGGCAGCAGATGTATCTACTTTGTTTCTATAGTTAGAAGGCTGACTTGTAATACTGAACATCACTTTGGGTTTTTGATTAAATCCATGTGTCAATCCACTTATGAATGATCGCCCAGGCACCTGGGCTGCAAGACTGAAGTTGGTTCATATGAATGCTAATGGCATTGCTTTTGGTTACCGAAACAAACATGTCTTGATCCTTGGATTCCAGGGACTGGACTGCTTTCCTGGATTCTGCCTGTTGTGAAGCAAAGTTAAAAAACTACTTCAGTAATTTTAGCTGTGTCTCAGTTGTGACAAAAATACAATTTCAAATTTGAACATTCACTCCTTTTGATGCTTAAATTCTTAGTTACTGGATTTCATCCTCAGCAATGTGGTTATTGTTGTTTCTTTGGGTTTTTTCCACCAATTTCCCCAAATGGGCCATGTAAAATATGTCAGATTAAAAAATCAGTCACTCAAGCTCCTGAGAGATCAATTTTCCTTATTCTTACGTATCCAGAAGCGAATGCTGAGGTATGAAAATTCCTTTCTCAGTACATTGGGATTCTCTTGGCGGCTTTCTTGACTGTCTGGCCAGACAGATGAACCCTTGCACATTTCTAATGCAGGAGAACTGCAGCTACTTTGCAAACCATTTTGAAAAGTCATAATCCATACCAAACTCGAAGACTAGTTCAGTGTCTTAAAACTTCATCATCATGGCATTTTCCACTAAATACATATTCACAATTCATGGCCTTTTTAAAACAGCAAAAATGGTAATGTAAAAGTTATGTTAAATTACGTAAGAACTTCCAGTAGCTTAAAAGGGTATTTCCTATTATTCATTAATATGATAAATACATTAAAATAAACATAAAATTCCCATTTATGCTGTTTTATCAATTCTAGTAACGACCTGTTACTACTGTAAAAAAGCATCCGCAATATTAAGAAAATGGGCCAGCAGGCAATACTTAATATACAGTAATTTACAACACTATTTTTTATTATTTTTTAATACTGTTATTACAATATAGCAGTATTATTTAATACTGTTTAAGACAGTCTAGCACAGAGTATGTTTTGTTATTTGTCACTTTTTGTGCCTGCTGATAGGGCTAGTAATCTTCTGCTCCAGTGAGGGATAATACTGACTGCCACTGTCACTTTCATCTCTCTCTAAATCTCAAAATCCATCACTAGGTCGAGGAAATCTTCCTCTAACAGCCATGCCCTTCCTTGGAATAATTGAGAGAACTGCACATGGGACTGGCTGTTTGAGAAATCCATCAATAAGGGATTTATTTATGAAATGTTGATTATATTTAGCTTTTCGTGGTGGCTCTGCTTACGTAGTAAGGAAACCTGTTTGATCTAAAGGACTGAAATTGTTGTTAGAAGCAACAGATTACATTCCCAAGGTAAGCATGCACACTGATGGAACTGCTTATTGTAGAACTGCTAAGGACTCTTTGCATGTTAGGAAGATAGATTTTGCTGTAACACACTGCAGATTTTAATGTTAATGAAGATTTTTTGCTGCTTTTTGTGAAGAAAACCATAGTTTTCTATATGGTGCAAAATTATGTTCTTGGGTATCCTTATTTAAAGCATTTTCTCTCCAGAAATAATGACCAGAGAAGTAAATATGGTGGGACAGTAAGAATGTGAGAAATAGCTAAAATAAAAGAGAGGAAGAGATGGAAACCAATCTTCCATTCACTACAATACTGTAAAAGGTTAATACTGCTTTCATTTTCTTGCACCCCTAACAATTTTAATGTGTAGTAATGAATATAGTTAGGGTTTAGGTCATAATGTTGGAAAACTCAGTTGTTTATCATAACAGTCACAAATCCAAGATGGTAAAAGGAAGTTTTTACTGTGATGATAAAGTAAAAACAATATGGTAAAAATCTAAAATACCTCTAAAGCAGGCATTTATTTTTATTACCTTTCAAATTTACTACCTAAATTTGATAATGTGAAAATAAACATTGGACTACTACAATAAAATCTGTACAACAATTTGTTGTAATGTATCAGTTTAAGAAAAATATGTGTGACTGCAGAATAGGAAAGATGGTAGTGATCTAATTCAGTAAAAAACATGTGAATACTGTTTGAAAACCCTCTATAATACAATTTAAAAATGCATTAAGGTGAGTTCTGGACCCACTGAGTTTAACAGGACATTTTGTACTGTTCTCAGTGTCAGGGTTTTGTCACATAAAGGCTGTAACAAGGTAACCGGAGTCTCCAAACCAGCAGCAAATACTGCGTATGTTGCATCATTAACATTTTTGTGTCTTAGACTCAAGAATTTCTAAACCCTCCACAATTTGCTTTGAGACTAATGGAATTTGAAGATATTCTTGTGCTGCATATCCTGACTCACTGACGAGGGAAACAGCCCAGTGCAGCAGTCACCTGAGCCTGACATTAAAATTTAGTATTTTGAGACCCACAGGGTAGTAAATACTTCCAGTTTCACTTGATGCTTCCAGTGCCTCAGTAAGATGAAGTTTCCAGTCTTGCCCCAGATGGCATCTCCTCTTTCCCAGCAAGTCCTACAAGGACATCTACAAAGATGGCTGCCACAGCTCCATCAGCAGAACACAAAGCACCTCACTGTGCTTCCACTTAGAACAGACACTAATGGAGGCGGGGGAATCTGTTTATTTGCAAAAATGCACAAAAAAATCCTCTTTGCCTGAAGAAAAGGAAAATGTAGAGGATAAAGAGTTTTCCTCAGCCTCCCGGCTACATACTCTGGATGGGTGTGGGTTTGTGGACATGTACTGTTTTACCATACTTCTCGTCATCTTTAACCTCTGGTACATCTGCAGCTCACTGTGTCTGGATAGTACAAAGTCAAAGACTTTTTTTTTTTTCTTCTTTTTGCTCTTGGAACTAAAGAAGATTCAAAGAGCAAAGATAAACATGAAAAATGAGTGCCTATATGGAAATTATGGTACTGGGAGCCCTAATGTGAGCTGACCAGTTTAGACCCTACTCTGCTGGAGGAATTTCCCTTGAGATGAATACGTTTACATCTGTCTGGTGCTGATTGATTGGAAGTGGCTGGACACAGCTTTATTTTGCACCCTTATTTGTGAGCTCCGCAGACTTCAGTGTGGCTCTGTGGAGGATATAGCTTAAAGCAGGATGGAATTTTGTGTGCCAGCATTAGCAAAGCTTTCAGAACACCTGTAAGCAGATTTAAAGCTGCTTAATTCAACCTGGCATAGTTTAAGTCTCCACACTTTCAAACACAATTTATCCTTGGTGTAAGTCTGTAGAAACCCTGTTACAGCTTTTAGGCTCCTGGTGAATCTAGCCTAATGTTCACTATGTCTTAGAAACTTAGAATCTTTTTATGCAACATCTTAAACCTGCTCCTTGCTCTTAAGCATTTAAAGACTGACCAGCAATTCTGGAGTACATCTAGAGCTGTCTGTGGAAAAACACATCTTAATCTTCAATCTTTATCTTTCTGTTTTGTAGAACGTTGTATATTATCATAGAACCACAGAATGGTTTGGGTTGAAAGGGACCTTAAAGATCATCTAGTTCCAACTCTCTGCCATGGAGTTCCCTCCCTTCCACTAGACCAGGTTGTTTAAAGCCCCATCCAGCTTGAACACTTCCAGGGTGGGGGGCATCCATCATTCATAACCGATGGCTGCTGGATGACTCCTGGGAACATGGGTTTTCCTCTCCTATTCCTGTAGAGGAATATTTTTTATTTCATTGACTAATAAGGAAAAGTCAGGTAAGTCTGGCAGTAATATGGCATCTGTATCATTCTGCTTCTCTTTTGCAGTATGCTTAACCACAGAATGTAAGTACCTTCTTTAAGGCTGATTCATTCTATGGCATTTGATTTCACTTATCAGTGGTACAGCCACTCATTTGACAGTTTGTGGCTTACATACATCCCTATACTCTGATTTCACATGCACAGGGATATTGTTACTACCACGGATAGCATCTGTTTCCTAATTCCATCTAAATTGCCCTGTCAAAAGCAGATCACACTTGTTGACACGATTCATGCCTGCAGAGTTGACAGTCTCATTGATGAGAAGATGTAATTGACAAAATTGTAAGAGTAGTACCAAAAGGGAGAGCAGAAGTTAATTACTCCACTGACAGAAAGACTGCATTAGAATGTACTACATTAGTTATGTACTCCATAATATTTTCAATTTTTGAATACTGAGATGAAAAAAACAGACATGAACAGCCACTAGCATTTCTATTTATGTATTTATATACTATGTGTTTTATGAGTAAGAAGACTCTACTACACAAGTCAACTTTCTAGTTACAGAAAGTACTCTCTGCTCTCAACAGAGTACAAATGTCAGGTATCAGATATCCTGATGTTTCTTTGGACATAAAACCAGTGGATGATTCCTAGTCTGGTTTTCAGGATGTCACCTCTGCATTAATCTGTTTATCCATCTTGATATGGTGTTCAAGTTTTGGTTCAAAACCAAATGAAATGGCAGTAGATGTTTCAAACACAGTTGTCTAAATATTTTCAAACTATATGTTCAGACTAAAGAGAAAGACTTAAATGAATGGTTCCTCTAAGAGAAAGATGTGTTTTACATTCTCTTTAGCAGTAGTTGCCTGTGCTTCAACACACTGAAGCACACAGTGCCCTTTCTTGTCTTTTGGGAATGTTATGGGAGAAAGGAAACTGAAAATACTGTCACTGGGTTTAGGGGAAGAAAGGATATAAAGGATTCATCTATAGGAAAAAAAATGCTTGTTACTTGTGCTAGTTCTGAAATGACTTGATTATTTTTTTTTAAAATCAGTCTTCTTCAATTACCCAAGGTAAGACAACCTTCACCATGAGGGTAGGAGTGATTGAGACCCATTACTCCCATTCAGTTGTTCCCAGTGTGGTAGTGCAAGACACCAGTGAGGATCCTAAACCGATAGACAAAAGGGAAAACAGGTATGTTAAATGTAATATTTTTGTGTCTGTTTGGGTTTTATTCTGTGATAATTTGAATAGGATTAACTAAGCACAGGCACTTGCCATCATCTAATTTGTTTCACCCTCTAATTTTTTAAGATTATATTATTTACTGTAAATATTTAGGAGATTAAAATCTGGGCTCTTGCAATTTCCTTAGATACCTTAGCCCATGATTAAACTGTTGAGAAACAATCTGTGACAATATTGATTAAACATTTTTGTTTATTTTTGTATTTCAGCAGATATCATGTAACTCTGTTGTTTTGCTATTCCCCAGGCAATGGTATCTACCCAGTGTATTTGCACAGTACAATATTAACAACAATAGTAATAAAGGCGAGTAAGTATCTGCCATTTCATAAAATGAGAGTACTGCAATATTGTTTGTTTAAGCAGCAATGAGGGAGATTGATATATATTTAATAAGGTCTTTGTAAAGTTATGATGTTCAACTAATCCCAAAAGAGATTGCATGTACATTTTAACTTCATGCACATAAATTATGATGATCATTCTCAATACTAAAGCTATTGGTATTACATCTACTAATTTAAAATAGAAGTAATACTATGTGAATACAGTAAGCAAAACAGTTCTGAAGGCCAAAAACCCAAGTATAATGTTATCCTTACTGAACGCAGACCACTCAAACAAATATGGAAGCAAGAGGTATGTGCATCCCATCACCCTATCATACTTTTCTTTTCCTTAGGGAGGAGAAGAAAAAGAAAAAAGAAAAGAAGAGGTAAGACAAAGACTAATACTGCTACTAAGATATTTAATCTCTTTCCAAATATGTTTTAACTTAGTCTGTAACAACTGAAAATGTAAATCTATTTCTTAGCAAGTCAGAAAGAAAAAAGGATGGAGAAACAAAAAAGAACAAGGACAAAAAGGAGAAAAATAAAAATAAAGATAAATCCAAGAACAAAGAAAATAAAGAAGAGTAAGTATTTTTCATTCAAGTCCTCCTGTTAGTCTAACAAAATCGCTTTTTATGTAAAAGCAAATCCATTCATGGACATCCTGTGCTTGTGAATGAGCGTTCATACTCCTCCCTAGAGCAGATCTGTTTTGATTTAACCTCATATGTGGACAACAGAAATATGAGTGTGTGGAATTGGTCTGAAAAAAAAAAAAAATCAAGAAAATTCTCCTTTGTATTGTGATTATCAAATATTTTTTGGATAACACCCTGAAGCAAAAGATGTGCCAGTGTAAAGCAATCTCTTCCACACATAAGGGTACCTACATCAAGTAAACTCTTGCCTTATCTTTTCTTTGGTGAATTCAAAATTTTCTGGCCAAGGAAGAGAAACAATGCAGTAGGAACTTTTGTTGTATGATTTCATGTTCTTTGGTTTCTTTATGTAAACTATGCCAATGTTTCATCTCTCTCAGAGCTAGACTTTTTCCCAATGAGAAAGCCATGATTTTTCTCACTTCTTTAAACATGAGTAGTAGTCACATAATCCTTTTATTTTTTTGAAATATGATTAAGTCAATTATCAGATAAGATAGTTAACTGGGTAGGAAACCATTACAAGTAACTTTAAAAGACTGAAATTACATGTGCCACTGTAAACTGAAATGGCATTGCCAAGATAATTTTGCTCAGCAAAATTTAGATTCTAAAACTTGTATCTTAAGTCACACCTAACAAGCAGCTTCATGTTCTCTGTGTATTTGGGCAAGGAAGCTTAACTTTAATAAAGACTGATTATTTTACAATAGCAATTTCTGGAATACTTCATTCCTCAAAAATTGTTACATGTATTTTACGTCTCTCATTATATCTCCTTTTCTTTTTTTTTCTTTTTTTTTTTTTTTCCCTGACTATTACTTAGGGAGAAGAAAGAGATTTTCATTATTGATCCAGCAGGAAATATGTATTACAATTGGTTGTTTTGCATCACAATGCCTGTCATGTACAACTGGACCATGATTATTGCTAGGTGATGTACTGTTTTAATGATTGCATAAAACTTCTGGCAAATTGTATTGTCCCTAAATAGATTAAAAAATATTTTACTTATTAATGACTTCATGCAAATATTTAATTTTCATTTCATGGTAATTTAATTTTGTCTTTTCCTATTCAGAGCCTGTTTTGATGAGCTTCAGCACGACTACTTAGCGGTATGGTTTATTATTGACTATGTTTCTGATGTCATCTATATTGCTGACATGTTCGTACGGACAAGAACAGGTAAGTATACTCAATGATTAATTATTCCTCTTCACATATTTATGCCAAGTGGGTTCAAATATTTAGAATACTACTACCCTTATTACCTGGGTATCTTTGAGGAGGTGTGATAGTAAAAAAGATACTGAGAGAGGTCTGTGAAAGACTGTAATCTGTGACCTGTAAAAATAGGAGAAACTGGTGTATACATAAAGCCTGAGGTAGGCTAGACATTAGGTAAGCTAGATACAAACTGTTCCACCTGCAGCTGCCTCAGCAAGACAAAATTAACATTTGATGTGGCTAAGTGAAAATCAAGGGCTCTGAAGAACTAGCACCTATATCTGGATTCTGTATTTAAGGAGATTCAAATGTTTTCTTGATTTTCAAAACCACTGTGCAAACAAGACATCCAAGTTGCTTCAGATGCAATTGTTTCTTCTAAATCTGATTCTACCTCCAGAGCTACTGAGTAGATAATATGGAACTGGAATTCCCATGTTCAAATTCTTTCCCTGTGGAGTTTTTTTGAGGGTTGTTTTTTTCTTTTTCAGATGTTCACCATAATGGAAAAGTGAAGGGAAAAAAATCAGTGCTAGAAATGTTTAATTTTCAAAACTATAATTTAGCTTAAGTCAAACCATATAGAACAAAGTTGGATATTTTGAAATAAGAAATTGTTTATTAAAAAGTCAGAGAAGTTGTGTACCATCTGGAATTTGCACTTAAAATATTTTTTGAAGTATATTTGGATTCACATTAAACACAATACAGTTGAAGTTGTAATGTTTTTTATTATTTACAATTTGATCTTAGGTTACCTGGAGCAAGGTCTTCTGGTGAAAGAAGAACAAAAGCTTCGAGAGAAATATAAGGCATCTTTTCAATTCAAATTAGATTTTCTGTCAATCATACCAACTGATATCTTATACTTTAAGTTAGGACTGAATTACCCAGAATTGAGAATAAACAGGCTACTCAGAGTAGCTCGGATGTTTGAATTCTTCCAGCGAACAGAAACAAGGACAAACTACCCAAATATCTTCAGGATCTCTAACCTTGTAATGTACATTGTGATTATTATTCACTGGAATGCCTGTGTGTACTACTCGATCTCAAAAGCCATTGGATTTGGGGCTGACACATGGGTCTACCCCAACACCTCTGATCCTGAATTTGCCCGTCTCATCAGAAAGTATGTCTACAGTCTCTACTGGTCAACACTGACCCTGACTACTATCGGTGAAACACCCCCTCCTGTAAGAGATTCTGAGTATTTCTTTGTGGTCATTGACTTTTTGGTTGGAGTATTGATTTTTGCTACGATTGTTGGTAATGTGGGCTCCATGATCTCCAACATGAATGCTGCTAGAGCAGAGTTTCAAGCAAGGATTGATGCTATCAAGCAGTATATGCACTTTCGGAATGTGAGTAAAGACATGGAAAAAAGAGTTATAAAGTGGTTTGACTACCTGTGGACAAACAAGAAGGCTGTGGATGAAAGGGAAGTCTTGAAGTATCTGCCAGATAAATTAAGAGCAGAGATTGCAATCAATGTTCACCTGGAAACACTAAAAAAAGTTCGGATTTTTGCAGACTGTGAAGCTGGTCTGTTGGTTGAACTGGTTTTGAAACTCCAGCCACAGGTGTACAGTCCTGGAGATTATATTTGCAGAAAAGGAGATATTGGACGAGAGATGTACATTATCAAAGAAGGCAAGCTGGCAGTAGTTGCTGATGATGGAATTACCCAATTTGTGGTCCTAAGTGATGGCAGCTATTTTGGAGAAATCAGCATTCTTAATATCAAAGGTAGCAAAGCTGGCAATCGAAGAACAGCCAATATTAAAAGTATTGGATACTCTGACTTGTTTTGTCTGTCTAAAGACGATCTCATGGAGGCTTTAACAGAGTACCCAGATGCAAAGGCTATGCTGGAAGAAAAAGGAAAGCAAATCCTAATGAAAGATGGGTTGCTGGACATTGAAGCTGCAAACTTAGGAAGTGATCCTAAAGATCTGGAAGAGAAAGTCACCTACATGGAAGGAGCAATGGATAGATTACAAACAAAGTTTGCCAGGTTGTTGGCTGAGTATGACGCTTCACAACAAAAACTGAAAAAAAGACTTACACAAGTCGAGAAAATATTGAAGCCAGTTATAGAGCAAGAATTTGCAGACTTGGATCTGCAAGAAGCAGATGCATCCACAGAGATGCCTGGATTGTCAAAAGTAGAATAAACCACTGAAAGTTGCCAATAAGACTTAGGGTCAAGTCCTGCATGGGGCTGAATACATTCATTTCTAATCTTTATAGGATCTGACTGTTAATTAGGAAAAACATTTTTTGAGGTAATGTCACTAATTTCCTACAAACAGCACATATTTGGCAGGTTTTGAGAAGAAAAAGAAGGACTGAGAACGAGAATGTAAGGTAACACTTTGGTGTTGCAGAAACAGGTGGTATTTGCTAATGTGGCATGTACTCTTTATGTAACTGCCCTATAGCAAATGCATTCAGTCTATGTACAGTAATATCCTGTCAATATTAAAAGTTTTGCTGACTATTTTAAAATAATTTCTTTATGTCTACTTATGGAAAGAAGGAAGTTTGCTTACAATTATATTGTTTGAAGTCAATATAGGCATGAACCATGATATTAAATTTGTGTATAAACAAATACATTTTAATATGTATTGATTAACATAAGATGAATTAAGTATGGGATATATGAGTACTGAAGGCTGTAAGATTTGGAAAATATTATTATTTCACTGGGTCCACCTTGGGTGATTTCTTGAAATGTAAGTGGGCAGTTTTAAATTAACCCTTTTCGGGATAAAAAAGCAATTGTTTCAGCAATTTGTTCCAGCAAAGGCTGGAACAGAGAATGGAGAAAATACAACTTCTTGCAAGCATCATTCTGAAAAATATGGATGGCTCAAAATCTAGCTGTTCTTTCCACAATAATAACAAATCCGTAGTCTTGAAGACTGTTCTGCTCCATAGAATCATGGAATCATAGAATGGTTAGGGTTCGGAAGGACCTTAAGATCATCAAGTTCCAACCCCCCTGCCATGGGCAGGGACACCTCGCTCTAAACCATATCACCCAAGGCCTCGTCCAACCTGGCCTTGAACACTGCCAGGGATGGAGCATTCACGTAGTCATATGGCTGCTGAACATGGACTATCAAGTTCTGTGCTTAAAAATGTTTATGTCCCTAGTGTAGCAGTTGTGGACACTGGCAGAGTGCAAGGAGCAGACATGACAGAAAGAGGCCAAACTCTACCTATGGCATCTTCTGTAGCTGTTGTGGGGGAAAGAACATGACTAAAAAGGTTATTTTTTTCATTGCTTGATAGGGTATTTCTTTCTTCATAACTATACTAACATAGTAAAATATATTGTTTCATTTGTCAGATAGATTTTCAACTGCTTTAAAAGCATTATCTCCTTGGACTTTTTTCCCTAATTTATGTATTTTTTCATTGGCAAAAATTGCCTTTACTAGTTGTGGTCTCAGCTGGGCATTTTCAGCTGGGCATTTTCAGTAGACTTTGATCATAGCCACTTAATGTTGGAGAATTTTGATGACAGGGAGTGAAGAAAGGGATTTCAAGGGATAATTCGTGTTTAGGGCAATTTAATTATCCTGGGCAATTGTATTTCCACTCTTTATAAATATATATGTAAATGTTACTGTTATATATAAGTACACTGTTCTTGATAATATTGTTATACTTTCATTCTTCTCCTTAATAAGATGGAGATATTATAAATTGGATCTTTTGTACAATGAATTCTTTGCCATTGTTTCATTAAAGACTCTACCTTTGCACACAAGAACAACTGTTATGCTGGCATTTAACTATATTGTGAATGTTGGAGTTTGCAATAAGCATTCTTCTAATTCAGGTCTTGAATATCATTTACAATCTCTATGGCAGCAGCATCCAGTAGGGCTGTGTCATATTTCACTATGAACTTAGGAAGCACTTTTCTCCTTTGTTGAAGTTTAAGATTTTGTATTAGAGAAATGTGTGATAAGTTTTAACTAATAAAGGCAGAGATCTACTGTTCATATTTTTTTCTTTTATTGATACTTCAGTCTAACATGAGTTGCAGTTACTAGCTGCCCCTTTCTTGGGAATAAAAACAAGTCTAAACACTACAAAATAAAAGAGAAAACCAGAATTGAGCTCCGGTAGTTTACTTACTATTTTCAGACTCTTTATGATTGGAAATCTGTTATTATTTCACTTGTATAATCACATATTTGCTGAAAAAAAGCCCCGCACACCACCAACTCTCTCTCCTCCCCCCCAGACCCTGTTAAATGCAGTTCCTTCTGGCACAAGGCAGAACAGAAGTGCTGTAAATGCTATATAAGTGTTATAAATATTTATGTTTTATAACATTTAAAATATTTCAACTGGCCCCTACTTGTCAGATCTCTTCAGGAGGAACACAGGTACCTCAACATGTATTTTTGTGTAGTAAAACCTGGATATGCTTCACTGAGGTTTCTAAACACGCTTTGCAGCTGATTTTTAACTCACATCCTCAGAAGAAGGGCTATGAAGAAAACATGTGCAAGAGCTGCACCCTACAGACATAGCTGCCAGAAATTTACTTTGGATACAAGGAGGCTCAGGGGACAGGTTTCTGCTCTCTACAACTACCTGGAAGGAGGTTGTAGTGGGTTGTGTGCCAGAGTCTTCTCCCAGGCAACAAGGGGTAGGACAAGAGGAAATGCTCCATCCTGGCGGTGTTCAAGGCCAGGTTGGACAGAGCCTTGGGTGACATGGTTTAGTGTCCCTGCCCATGGCAGGGGGGTTGGAACTAGATGATCTTAGGGTCCTTTCCAGCCCTACTCTATGATTCTATGAAATTGGCTGAAATCATGCCAGGGGAAGCTTATACAGAATATCGGGATAAATTCTTCACTGGAAGGGTTGTTAGGCATTGGAACATGCTGCCCACGGAGGTGGTGGAGTCACCATCCCTGGAGATGTTTAAAAGATTACACAGATGTGCTTAAGGACATGTCTCAGTGGTGGACTTGGCAATGTTGGGTTATTGGTTGGACTCGATGATCTTAAAGGTCTTTTCCAATCTAACAATTCAGTGACAGACATCTGAACCCATTACTTCTGTGGCCAGAGAAGCACGCAAAAAGAAACCCAAGCATCAGGTAACAGGAGCCCGCAGCCCGTGCGCTAGCAGACACGTACCGGTCACCAGGCACACCGGTACAACCAGCTCCTCAGGTGACTTTGAGCTCCCGCCCAGTAAGGACTGGGGTCGCGTGGCGCCCCGCTGCACACTGGGTGTTGGAGTCCCCCCGCCCCGCCCGCGCGGTGCACGCTGGGAGCTGTAGTCGCGGAGCTCACGGGGGCTGTGCCGCCTCGGTTGCCACACCCTGTCAGAGGGGCTGGCGTGCAAAGCCCGCGTTGGGCCGGCTCCAGCTGGGGGTGTGAGGAGGGCTCGGCCTCTCTCCGCCGTTCCTCGCTTACTGGCGGGGGAGAGATGGAGGCGCCCTGGCGTCAGGGCGGCCGGGGCCGCGGCCGTGCCAGGCCCGGGGAAGGGCTCGCTGCCCGTGCAGGGACAGCTGCCCGGCCCCCGGCTGCCAGGGCCCGCGGCGGTGCCTGCGCTAGGGCCGCGGGGAGTAGCGGTGAGGCGGCCAGCGGTGAGTGTCATGTTCTCCCCCTTACCCGTGTCTGTCCGGGGGCTGCAGGGCGCCGGGCTGGGGAGCCGGCTGTGGTCCGTAGCGCAGCCGGGCCTCGGGGACCCCCCCGCGAATGCCCAGGTCGGTGCTCTCCCCGGCGTCGTGTGGAGGGAAGGCGGGCGGGGGACGCTTGTGTGGCCGGAGGGCCCGGCGCGTCTCCTTGCCGCTCGGTGGCAGCGAGCCATGGTGTTCGCCATGTGCAGCCACTGCCTGTGGGCACCACTGGGGGAAACGCGGGGCCAGGGCAGCGGCGGGGACGCGGGGCTGTGTCCTCCCTGGGTGCAGGGTTAGAGCCGTCCAAGCTGAAGAAGTCAAAAGTAATGGACCAGCTGTTATTCAGTGCGGTTGGAAAATACTCGAAAGAGTGCTGCCCACTAGGGACAAGCGTGAGGTACTCTGGTCCGAGTGGCACGATGCGGGCTGCCCCTGTGCGTGGGCGTGCTGCGGGTGCAAGTTAGTATTTTGCAGGTGGAGAAATGCCAAATAGTGAACTCTTTTAAGTGGCTTCATAGGTTCTTAAGGAAAGCCCTAAAACTAGGCTTTATGTAACTCCAGTAAATATACTGGGTGCAGTAGTCTAATAAGGAAAACTAGGAGTCCTGTGGTGTGCTGAAGACCCTTATATCTCTGTGATATGTTATCTTAAAAGCACTTAGTTTTATTATGAGCTCTGCTAAATTAATTTTTTTCATGTGAGAATCTTTCTCTATTTCACATGCAGTACCTTCAACAAAAGCTGGTAATACCCTGTCTTGTTCAGTGTTTCCATCTGTGAAGTACTGTGAACCCAGTATTACATTAGAGTTGTTGGGTGGAGGGAGATCAATAAAAGTAATACTTTAAAAAATCCCAAATGCTGTGAGAGACACCTGTAGGCAAATTATAACAATTGCATTCGTCAAGAATTGCCTGGGGTCTTTTTTTTTGTGTGTGTGTGTTTGTTTGTGGGGTTTTGTTTTTATCTGTTTTTTTTAATTCCTCATGCTATGAAAGTTGTGTCTGTGTGAGGCGTGTGTTGTGTGTTTTTTAAAGTATCCCTTTCATAAAGCAGCATTATAGGTGCATATGTTCTAGTCTGGTTGGATTTGTCAGCAGTAACTGACAGATAATAATTCCTCCTGTGAGTTTTATGGATAATGCACATTAAAGAAGAAAATACAATAAGGGCAACATAGTGCCCTTAAAAGCATACAATTATCAAACTCCTTTAGAAACTTCTTTAGAATTTTCAAACTTCTTTAGAAAAGGACAGTTGAAAGTATGTAGACCTGAATGTGGTATTATGAGTAACTGTAATGGTATTAATCTGTTCTCTTAATAGAATTATCTTCACAGAAGAAATTTGATGAAATTAAGAAGGCTAATCAGGCTGCAGCAAAAAAGCTAGTTGAAGACCAGCTTAGCTCCTCATCTGAAGAGGATGATGAAGATGCTGAAGTAAAACAAGGAAAGATTTTGGCCAAAACATTTACCATTTACACCAGTCAAACTGGTAATTTTTTTTTCATTTATTGACTTTTCTTTCAGCATGAAAGCTTAAACAATACTATATTATTAGCTGTGTATTAAAATTTTTCCATAATTGGAGGGAAAGCACTTTATTCTTATGTCTTGTATTAAAAATACTTGTTCCCAGCAAGGCATGCTGGCAGTACTTCTTGCCTTCTTATGCAGAATCAATGGTATAGTTTTGAAACTGTCTTAAGTACTTCTAATAATGT